AAGAGCGTTTGCAGGAAATAGTTGTCCCGGAGCGACCGCGAGAAACGGAGGAAAAGAATCGCGAGAAACAATTCGGATGAAACGATGCGCGCGAGAAATACACATAATTTTTTCTCTATCGTCTTACCGGTCAATGCAGAGAATAAAAGCGAGATCGCAAAGCTTCGATCAAAGCGCCTCTTCGCACTTCGCCTGTGTTCCACGTCTCTCGTAACACACTTTCGCGCGAGAACGATTCCATCTCGAATTGTTCGATTTACCGAGAAAATATCGCTAAAGACATCTGCGTTGTTGCGAGAAATAAATTATTATAATCCATCTACTTGGTATACATATTTTGATTATTTGTAAATTATTTGTAAAATTTGTAAAATTAAAGGTTAATATTGTCGATATAAAATATGTAGGAATGTAGGTAACTTTGATTTTAATACTACAATTGAAGGAAAGTTTAAAAATAGACATTGTATCGTTACGTTGAATCTGAATGTATATTTATGGTTTCTCAACCTTTTATGAAAATGACCATTAAAATTCCTGCCGTCTTGAAGGAAACGTCAATATTTGCATCAACTCTGTTTCTCTCTTTTTAAATTCGCGATTCTATATGTACTGACATCTTATATTTTTTTTCTTTTTGCTATCGTTCTCTATGTAAGGCTTCATCAATTGCAAAACATTTTAAAGTCTTCTATTGTCCTGTAGGGAATGGAACCTTTATTTCTATGAACCTTATGTGATACCTAACTGTTTATGCGTCTGAGTTAATAAAATCGTTCTCGTTAAATGCTAATGAAAATAACGAGAGAATTTAATCAACTTGCTTTATCGAATGATCTCCTGTGTAAGTATTGTCAACAACGCGACGAAAGATCGATGGTGCTGAAGATGCAAGGAAACTGCGTAGACGCCAAATCTCTCGATTACCCATTCGTTAGCTTTCTGTATAATTAATCGCACGTCATGGAACATAATTAATCAATAGCGAATTTTTATTAATTAAAAAAAATCTATATGCGTCATGCACACTTTTGCTCCACTCACAATTATAGATATCATAAAGATTCTTTTTACACACATATACTAGACCTTTACGACTTCAATAAATAACGATACCAGTGTCGGTGCAGATCTATTAAAAACTCGTACCGCAAAATAAAATTTTATACGACTGCGATAAATGTGCAATATAACGGGCGATTAATGATGATACCCGACGTCGACAGGAAGCGCAAAAAGATCACAAGTACCGTCAGAGAGAGTTACTCTGCGTTTAAGGTGGGTTTTTTTTACTAAAGGTAGACAGACGAGGAAGATGAAGAAAGACATGGTAGACAATAATTGATGGAAACCGATTACGCTTGAAGGTATTCCGACTTTTTTCTGTTCTTTTTTTTGGTCGCAAAGAGAGGAGTGTTAGGTCAGATTTTTCTTCCCTCGCTGATTCGATCCTAATGATACAACGGAGAAGGAAACGTGAACAGTCTACGGTAATAACCCTAATTATTAAGTTGAGATTTATACAAGAGGGGAAAAAATTAATAAGATTATTCTTGTTTATTTGTGTAATTATAAATTGTTCTGACAATCAGAGCCGACGCGATCAATCTCCATCAACGTAAAAGAAAATCGATGCCACGAAATCTACCATCAATGAGGAATTTATGAGATCTCGCAGGTTAATCCATGCTCTCGTACCCAGAGATAACGAAGATGAAGGTAACTTAGGTCCAGCCGGGGAAGAGATATATATATATATATGTATATATGTAATAGAAGATTTATGCATATATACTTGTAACTGAATTCTGAATCTCTCGTAATTACATTGAATTTGATTTTGCATCACAGTGCGCGATTTCGCGCTCAAAATCAAGCGCCTATAATTAGCGACAATTCCGCGAATAATTTATTGCAAGAAAATGAATTGAGGCATTAATTAAAGCGTAAATCACGAAATTGCAATTACAAATAAATCCAATTTCATAAGTCTAATTCTCACGGTATCGTAAAGAACTTTAAATTAACATAAAAATCAACATTCTATTTGCATTAATAATTGCGATCAAGATTTTATTTCTCGATCTTACGTTTAATAAAAGCGCGTTATACAGGTATAAAACACGAAATTAAGCAATATTGACTATGTCTTTATACGTTACTTGGCTGAGCAACGAGGGCTAATAATAGCTTCTTCGAGGGGGAAGGTTGTAAGGTTGTAAGGTTTAAAGAACGAGTGAAATCGAAACGGTTAAGTACCGCTGTAACAAACAAGACACTGAAACCATTAGACGGATTCTTGACGATGAAATTAAATAGTAGCGAGCAACGTGAATTTATCTCACGATCTTGTGTCTCCTTCTTTTTCCGTTTCTTATCATTAGAGCAGCTGGCTGCTCTGAAAACTTCGTTTATCAAAACAAAGTTTTATCCTATCCATTTGCGTGAGACTGTCACAGTTTTTCATGACGCAAATCTTTTTTCGGGAAGAAAAACGTATATCCCACCGTGTACATAAGGTAGCTTGATGATGGAAATTAGTAATAAAATTGAATTTTTACCTGAATAAACAGCGATATAGTAAATTTACGGGAAAAAAATTAATTGCAAGAGAGAGAGAGGAAGAGTAAAAAAATTATAATATTAATAATGTAAAATTTTGTTACGCGTTAAAATTATTTGTGTATTTTTCGCTGTCATTATCGGGGATTAATGAAGACTAAAGTATTTACGTCCATTTAATTTTAAGTTTCTGAAAGTTTTAGCGGTAATATTGTCGTGACGTTGTCGGTTGAACCAATGTAGTTATTCTCCAGGATACTAACAAACTTGTTACGAGAAAATGCACTTTTAGTGGCTTCCACTTTACTGGCGCCTTTCTATCTCTTTTTGCCTTGAAACGCCATTAACGGAATCTGAAGCGACGTGGAAGCATGCGGTTTCTTTGGCATTCACGAAAACAGACTTAATCTTTGTCGAGCAGAAGCTCGAAACATCCAAATCTAAAGAGCTAATAATTCTTTAAAGCTCGTTGTATTTGTCGGTCAGGAGAAAAGAATCTTTGAGAAGAAAGCAGGTTCGAATTGCAAAAATTTCAATTTATTAGCAATACTACTTTTTCGTAAAATTCTCGCTTGACAAAAGAGCAAGATGTAATACAATGGAAATATCTTTCATTCTGACCTACTCGGAGAGTAACGTGCACTCATTCCTTTTTATTTAAAGCCCCACCATCGCTCGGGGAAATCCGAGAATAAGTGAGATTAATGTCTTTGCTTTGTGTGCTCGCGTAACTGATCAAATTATTTTTAAGCTGAAGCAATTTGCTAAATTCCGATGCCAAATAAGATTAATTTCTCGAGCGTACAAATATATAAGTACAGCCGACAGCATTATTTCTCGATCACAGAAACGTGCTGCACGACCGTGTAAACAATCGTTCGTGGCATTTATTATTTCGAAGCAATCGATGGCCGATCGACTGGCACGAGTCGGCGTCGAAAGAGAAGGCGCCATCGACGTAATGAATCAAATATTTATGACAGTTGAATTTGACACGTGCACATTGTTTAACGACTTTTTGCATCACGGGTAATAATCTTCTCTGTATGACGATTAATACGGCAAACTAATAAATCGTATAATATGAGGACAAATGTGCTAAGAAATTATTGATCGCGATACAAAATCCCTTAAATCTCTTAATTATCAATTTTACAACGGAATAATTATTGCACTTTATTCTCCAATTCTCGCGTCACTATCGCAACTAAATATAGAGTTTATTTGCAGCGAAGATTGGGTTTATTGAAATTACGCCGGTTTCAACCCTTGCCTGAAACGCCCTTATTTCCGCGGAAAAATCGAACGTTTCTACGTCATATCGGTCATAGTAGCCGGACTCATAACATTGTCTCTCCCGACGGTTGATCGAAAGTAATCCGCGCACTGGCCGTTCTGCGAAATTGCGGTTCGAGTCTATTTTTTATGAGACACAAAGTTCAATATCTCTTTGTCTAGCAATCTAGACGAAGTTCCATATGCGTCGCGAAGTTTCGCGCTGGCCAATTCTCCATAGAGCGCCACCCTTTAAAGTTATTAACGACTCGGATCCCACAAAGGGACTTTAGTATCAAAGCGGATGTACATTTCACTCATGAGTGATCACGTTGAAAGGCGGGATTAAAAATTTTTCTAATTACGCAATTGTGTGTACAAAATATCAACTCCATTTCTCTTACCTTCCAATTCTCCATACATTTAAATGTGTATTTAGAAATATATTTAATATAATATCTAAAAAATTCGTCCTATAATAGATTCTCCAGTGAAAATATCGTTTTTTTCTTTTTTTTGGAAAGTTTTCAATTTTTTTCACATCATATATATATGCAATTAAACTTCAAATTAAAATTCAAAGTAAACCTTCAATTAATTGAAGAGTGTAGTTCTGTTAACCTTTGGACTTCGCAGAGTTTAATTCGCGAGAAGCTCTTTTTTTTCAATGGTTTATAATTTGAAAATTATTGATGCTTTGACATTTTCGTTAAAAAAAAGTCGCTAAATTAGAGAATCGGCTGTTTAAAGAACATCTGATGGTTTTAAGGTATCTTTTATGTATATTCATATTTTTTAAATGTGTGGTACATAAAATTCTCTTCTAATAATTTATTTTTATATCTTTTTTTTATTTTTTTTTAATTTTTTGCTCTCGATAATCGAGATTAGTCTCTTTGTACGCTCATGCTGTAGAGATTTGAAACAATCGATGGATTGCAACACCCTTGAGGTTTCGCCGATCAGGTTCGTTAATCTCTATCGGGGATCAGAGATCACCGCAAAGGATCGGGAGCATCGAATATCTTGTTCACTCACATTTCGTTGCATCATCAGATTTCCCAATAAAGCACAGAAATATCTCGCTTGCGTTCGCAGTTTATGGATTAAAATACTTGTCGCTAAATTGGAGATATAAATATTATTTTTTTTTTTTTAATTCAAATTCACGCGCGTCTAATATCAATCTATCGAATGTTAAAACCAGAAAAATTTTTTAAATTCTTATTGGAAATACAAACGCTTTTCAAAATTTTATAACAAAGGACATTCTTGCAACGAATGACATGTGCATTTTCCGCGCATTAATTTTGCAATAAATTATTTCCATTTATCGATAACTCCGGCAATTTCCAACAAGATGCACTGTAATTACACCTGTCGAAATTGAAGAGCTCAAAGAGCTTTGGTTACGCAAACAGAAGAGAAAATGACGAAAACTCGCCATTTGACGAGTGCTCGCAAACACGTCGCATGACACGAGCTTAGAGAAACATGTTCGCATGTGACGCGCAAAGGAAAAGTTTTCCTTTACCCGTTCCTTTCGCTATACGCTCATGTTTGATTCGAACTTCGATGCTATCTAACCCATGTAAAAAAGCAATATTGTGTTTTTTTACAAAGCAGAGTTTATCGTCGCGAATAATATCGAGGAATACATTTGTGGTTAAATATGCCTCTCTTTTCTCTCGGGGTGTGTGCTGCAAATATCGCGTTGACGTAAAAATCGAAATTTTAGATTGGTTTGTTGCACATACCATTTCGTAATTACGTAGTAATACGTCATATTGTTGTATGTATCGTTTATTGGGGATATTAATTGCCTTTTACAGAAAATAACAAACCAGAATATAAATCTACTATGTATCACGCGTCAATTATATTAATTGAGGAGTAAAACTAATTAATACGATTGATATGTGCATGGTGTGACTCAACAAAAAAATCACCGGTATATCTCAATTTAATCTATTAATTTAATTTAAACTATTATGAGAGAGACAACGAGAAATTTTCTAACCGATTAAATTTGATTAATTAACTCTTAAAGATCATATAGAGCTCATTTTGACGCTATCGATATTTTAACAGTAAAATGTATAAATATATAAGTAACCAATTTAAAAAATGTTTAAAATTTATTTTTTAACTTTTGTTGTATATGATTATTTTCTACAGATGTCAAGAAATATATATAAATCCTTGTAAATTTTTTCAAGCACTTTGAGACAGCTAAAACTGCGATAAGATATTGTAATCCATATGTGACCAGGAACAGAGCAAAAAAAGTGTGACCTACAGGATTTAGTAATAATTTTAATATAATAGAAGAATTTAAAAGCGTAAATTGGCGTTGCATGTCGTAAATTTAATCTGAAAATTTGCGTAATATATATAAAAATACAATAAATTTTCCGAACGTTTCTACGTTCTATATTTTATTTATATGTACGTTAAACTTGAATAACAAAATATTGAATTGTAACAAAGTATAACCCACGTATATAGAATTGCGTTATTACTTTAAAATATCAAATGCACAGAAAATTTTTTTCAAAGACTTCTTCAAAGACTTCTTTAAAGAGATGTAATGAGATTCGACAACAAAGTTTGTTGTCATAAAACAACGCATAAGAGTCATCCAGTTTATATCGTTACAAGGAGTTTTCTTAAAATATCATCTACTCGCGAAATAAACCACCATCGTCTCGAGATACAGTACTTCTAAAAAGAATAAGTGGCATCCACTTCCGAAGAAAAGAATAAGATTGTGAGACTCGCCCATTTTCCTCTGAAGTATTTTCAAAAACCTTCAGCTGAAGTATCATCTTCAAACTTATACGCGATATTTGGAAATAAATGCAAATTGCGCCTATTTTTACAATCTATATACAAATTATTACAATATCAACAGAGAGAGACATACCATTTTTCGCTTGACATACTTTCATTTGTAATCTCGGATCGAATATAATTTTTTCTGTCAATATCTCACTAAAGATCACGTACTTGTATTCAAATTCTAATTGTGCGTTTAATTAAGAAATCTTGGAAAATATGACGTGTAAGATATTTCCCTTTAATTTTTCGCGTCATTCAATTATAATTTCGCGTCACGTCCGTAATTTCGCTTTTATTACGGAGGATTGCAGAAGATATGATGAATTATACACGCACAATAAACTAGTATAAAATATGAGATCTCTGACTATATGAAAAATTAACGCAATTTTTGCAACGAGCAGCCGAAATATATAATAAATTTTAAAAAATGCGTAAAGTCGGTAAAAAATATAAACAACACGACTACTGTGTTTTTCTGTAGATTTTATATCAACCCACGAGACGTTGCACGAGGTAGACTGTCAGTAGTCAGGTAAGCGCATCGATGTATATTGTATTATTCAATACGGTAACTAAGTATCATCGGGCACTGAAACTGTTCCCAGGTAGATATTAGATTCCAAATGTAGACGCTCTATGTTGCACAATATCGACCGTATATGTGTCTACTTTCACAGTACGTTCTCGCCCTTCAAGATGATAAAGCACTTATGTCAAGTGACATATTACCCCGCGATTAAATTCTTATTCTTTAAACAAAATTAACTTTTAGATTCGCATAAACTGCAAATACAAAATCACAAATGCAAAATTTTCAATCACAAATGCAAAATTTTCAATCACGTGCAATAAGACAGAAAGATTTTGTCTTTACCTCGGACGTTAATTTCAAAGATGTGCGCTGATGTGTGTTGAATCTGACTGGGTGCTGGTCCTTTCGCACGCTATCGCCAAGGGACTACCGTAATTACCGAGGGAAAGAAAGGCCGAGAGACAAAGGAACGCGATCCGTACCCGCGAAAGCTCACCACGTGACTGGCGGGAATAGGTGTATCCCGCCGCTGCCGGGAAAAGCCAAACAGAAATCTCCTGCAACGCGCAGACTCGTTAACGGATGGTGTATGTCAAAATAAAACAAGACGTATGTGCTCTTAGATCTGTTCATCTTAGCTGTGCTATATCTGAAACATTTCGTTTAAGTTAATTTCAAAAAAAATATAGTAAGTATAATATAACACACACGCAACAGATTTATAGCGTTTCTGTGAGACCAGAAAGGATTAAATCAATTATTTTCAAAATACAATTATTTTTCAAGAAACATAGAAAACATAACAACTTAATATAAAAATATTTTATTTTTTTGAAATTATTTTATTTTATCAAATCTATATATTACATATAATTCTATCACAGAATAAATGTTGGTTTCTGACAAATCGTTTGACAAATAATTTATTTTCCATATTTCTAGAATAAAACTTTTTCTTTCTTTAAAATAAATATTTTAGGCAAATTCAACGCAAAATAAAAAAAGATAATGGGAAATGCAATAATTTTTTAAGTTTTAATTCTAATAATTATTGTAAACTTATTAAAACAATAAAAGAGAATAAATTTTCATTATTTAAATACGATATCGCGATACTATGATATCTATACTTATTGTTAGAAAAGAGAGGTGGAAAGATGGATGATTATGATTTTAATTATTCATAGTTTAATATTCAACTTGTTAACATAATAATAAATCACTATCATTTACGCAAAAATTATAATTTACTATTAATTTATTTTAATTTAGAAAAGTACGTACCAGAGAAAAGAGAAAGAATGAGCTATGAATCATTTTATAGTTTCATTTCTTTATTATGCAACGTGATGTATTGAATTTAATGACGACTATAATGAGTCGCGTTATCTAACGTTACTTACATCTAGTAATAAGGTTGACAACTTGACATTGTCAGTAAAATATATCTTCTTGTCTCGGTATTTTTAGCAACAAAAAAAAGTTTGCTCGAGGTATATTCGCCAACGAACGACACAAGGAATGCAATTTTGAAAATACGTGAACGCAAAGTATTAAAAATGTCGAAAGAATCTTGTTAATAAAATATGCAAAAATGATTCACAAGTTTAAAAAAAAATTTTATGAGTAAAAATTCTTATCTCTATTCTCTTATACGCTTTTTTTATTATTTTTTATATTATACTTAATTAAATTAAAGAAAGAGGCTTCTTAAACGGAAAGACTTTACGTAATATGAATATTTTCTACTTTTGTGACTTCTGTCAAGTAAAGATTATGCAGTTTGATCAGATGTCTCAATTTTTTTGAAATATCCACATATAATATTATAAAATATTAAATATAAAGATTACTAAAGAAAAGTGTGGAATAAAGCTATTGGAAAACTAACTTTTAAAAATATAAAATTGAGGGGTATTATATATTTAAATGAAACCGATAGCATGATTGATAACGCGCAATAAAGTATAAAATAGAATCTAGAGATACTTGTAGACAAGAACTTGTTGAAGATTGAGAAGTAAGAGAAATGTTGCTATAGATTTTATTTTAGAGAGAATTTTTATATATTTAATTAAATAAAAATTATTTTAAGAAATGTTACTCTCTTATAAAAAATAGTTTTAATGAATCCTTTTAACTTATATATATAATTATATATGTAATATATATAAAATGCCTGTGTATTATTGTATAATAATAAAAACGACTGTGTGTATCTGTGTGCGTGTTTGTACAAAATGTATTGTAACAGCGAAAACGATTGCGTTTGATATCCGATATATGTCTCGTATATACGAAATAAAACGCTTGTGTGTATTATTATATAATTATAAAAATAACAAAGATAACTTAGTATAATAGGCTTTAAATATATAATAATATTCACAAATAAATAAGATGAAACGAGTAAATGAGAGCCAACGCGCTGAGTGAGGGGCGCCAAATATATATTATTCCTCGTATGTGTAATTGTGTTTATTAATTAAACGTTTTGGTCCGAATATTGGACCATCTTCAGTAACTGTGTATAAAAATAATAAATATAAATAAAATTGGAATATAAAAGAGACTTACATAAAAGTATATAAACGTTACAACGCGTTAGCTCTCATTTGTCTGTCTCATTTTATTTATTTGTGGATATTATTATAAAAATGTCCGTGTGTATGTCTATATGCAAAATGTACTGTAACAGCGAAAACGATTGCGTTCGATACCCGATATATGTATACATTGTACATATTATGTAATTATGTAATGTATTTTGTAATTTTTGAAATCAAATAAAGTGTATTAATAAAACAAAACGCATATGTCTTCTGATTGAACATATCCATTCGTTCCCACACAATTTGACATGCCACACACATATCTCTTTGCTAATTATTTTATTTTATTGATACTATTTTGCCAATTTTTCATTCTTAGAATTTCTGAAACTGCATTTCTTAAAATCAAGTATCAAAAAAATATAATTAGCAAAAAGGTGGCACGAAGTAAAATCTTAAGAAGCGCAAACTTTAAAAATCCGCAAAAGTATCAGGAGAACATGATCAGCAAGGAGGTAACACAAACTAAAATTTTAAAATACGCGAAAATTTGGGATCTTCCAAAATCGCAAATGTATCAGGAGAACATAATCAGCAAAGAGGTAGCACAAACTAAAATTTAAAAAGGCCCGAAAAATTTGAAAATTTGAAAGTTTCGAAATCCGCATAAGTATTAGGAGAACATGATCAGCAAAGAGGTAGCACAATCTAAAATTTTAAAAAGCGCAAAAATTTGAATCTTTGAAATCCGCAAAAGTATCAGGAGAATATGATCAGCTAGGAGGTAGCACAAACTAAAATTTTAAAATACGCGAAAATTTGGGAACTTCCAAAATCTCAAAAGTATCAGGAGAACATAATCAGCAAAGAGGTAGCACGAACTAAAATTTAAAAAGGCCCGAAAATTTTAAAAATTTGAAAATTTGAAGTTTTGAAATCCGCATAAGTATCAGGAGAACATGATCAGCAAAGAGGTAGCACAATCTAAAATTTAAAAAAGCGCAAAAATTTGAACCTTTGAAATCCGCAAAAGTATCAGGAGAATATGATCAGCAAGGAGGTAACACAAACTAAAATTTTAAAATACGCGAAAATTTGGGATCTTCCAAAATCGCAAAAGTATCAGGAGAATATGATCAGCAAGGAGGTAACAAACTAAAATTTTAAAATACGCGAAAATTGGGATCTTCCAAAATCGCAAAAGTATCAGGAGAACATAATCAGCGAAGAGGTAGCACAAACTAAAATTTAAAAAGGCCCAAAAAATTTGAAAATTTGAAAGTTTCGAAATCCGCATAAGTATCAGGAGAACATAATCAGCAAAGAGATGGCACAAGGTAATATTTCAAGAAGCGCAAAAATTTGAAGCTTCAAAATCCACTAAAATATCAGTTTTTTTTTTTTTTTTTTTTTGGGAAGGAAGAGAAAAATGCATTATGCATCCCCACCGGCCGGTCCGGTGGGGTATGCGGGACTCACACCCGCTAAAAAACTCTCCCTGCAGGACCAACTTTTGGTCTTCCGCCGATGTTTACACAAATTCAAATTCTAAGATATCGAGAACGTGATAGGCAAAGGAGAGATAATACAAATGGAAACTTCACAAATTAAAATTTTAGAGATTTCAACTTAAAATAGAGAAAAGAATTCTTTTCTTGTTATGTACAATTTTCTCGTTATATACAATATAATGGAAATTACTATCTAAAAATTAATTGTTCTTACAACTCATATTGGAATATTTTTATGCATATATACTAAAGCATACAATGCATGCACGATTTTTGTACATTTCAGCTATTTATTATTTTAATTATCACAATTATTACACATACATACAAATATAATAATAATAATAATAATAAATAATAAATAATTGAAACAAATGGCGCATTGTATGCATAAATATTCCAATAATAACATTTATATTAATGTTTACAATATGTGCTAAAATACAAAAAGGCATTGTCGATAAATGATTGCGACTTCGTAATTTCAGCTTTTAAAATGAATGTAGATGACGGCACTAAGCAAGGTTTGATACTGTGATAAGTGCTCCAGAGAAATGGCGGGAACTGCTTTCATGTTCCTCTGGGATTCTTGCTGTTAGCTGTTAGTAGCATGGTGCAAAGTATGATAAACTGTGCAGGTTGATTAAAATGGATTACAAGGCACGTAGGCGTCATACAATTGTCACGGATACAAATGCTCAAGAAAATAATTATCCTCATGATATTCAAATGTACGATGTGCCCCCAGTGGGTGAGATGTCATTGGAAGAGTTTCAGGAGTTAGGGTTTGACAGATTAAAAGGTGACTTTTCGATACTCTATGATTTTGCACATGTAACTGTTAAAATAATAAAGCTTAATTATTGTCAACTTTATTGCAGCATTACGTTTGGTCGAGACAACAAACTGTAGAGGTGATTTAAAAACATTGGAAGATCGCAAGAAAGCTCTGTATGATTCTTTGAAATCTGACGGATTGAAATACTATGCGAATCTATTGTACGCTGATGGATCTAATCCACAGTCGGAGGAACATTTACAGATCAGGAAGAAAGATCACATATCACATTTTATTTTGAGACTTGTTTATTGTCACGATATGGAGCAAACTAAATGGTTTATTAATCAAGAGGTTGAATTCTTTAAGTTAAGATTTAATTCCTTAGAAAAGAAGGGCATCGAACATTTGTTGAGTATTAGTAACATGGATTGCGTACCTGTATGTTTTATTATATACTTTTTTTTATAAGATTATAATGTAATATATATTCTAATTTAGTAATTAATATTTCTTAAGATTTCACAAAATGAAAAATTAGAGGTGAAAGAAGAACTTAGTTTATCATCTGGGAAGGTTACAAACATAGATATCGTAGATATTTATAAAGTGCCTTTTGAGAAAGTCATCGATTTAGTCAGAGGACGTAAAGTATATCTCAAAGCAGGGATGGCATATGTCACCCATATGGATTTGAGTTCAGTATTTATCTCTTATTTTAGAGAGAATCTAACTGCAGGATTAGGGGTATGCTTATATTCTTTTTTATATTTTAATTTCAAAGAAAAAGATTAAATCCAATTAATTTATATTGTATGTTTTGCAGAGCGCAAAGATCTTTTACGATAATATATCTGACGATGAAAGATTGACCAGATACTTAACAGGTCTTCCTTCGGCTTTCTCTGGAATGGCGCGTGTTGTGTGGTCAACCACAGCTACACCCATTGATAAACTGCATGATGTATGAATCCAATCGTCATTTGAGTTAGAAATTGTGATTCCTTAAATTTGCTTGATTTTTGATACATGTACATTGTAAAATTTTCAGTTATCCAAAACGTCATATCCATTATGTATGAGAACACTTCATGAAGCACTTTACACCAACAGCCATCTGAGGAACTCAGGACGTATGCAATATGGGTTGTTCCTGAAAGGTATAGGTGTGACTTTAGAAGATGCTCTACGTTTCTGGAGGGATGCATTTTCGAAAAAAACAGACGGAGGAGCATTTGACAAAAAATATGCATACTCTATTAGGCATTACTATGGTAAAGAGGGAAGGCAGACGAATTACACGCCGTACGGCTGCCAGAAAGTAATATCTAGCTCTGTCGGGCCTGGAGAATATCATGGATGTCCTTTCAGACATATGGACCGCGATTCGTTGTGCCAAAAGTTAACTAGTTGTGGAGTATTTGCCTCTAGTAAGAATCTTAATTTTTTTTCTACTGTAAGACGTTCTTACGTTCAAAACTTACATTAATGTATTTTAGATATGACGGAAATATTAGACTTAGCCAAGGATGGACAATATCACTTAGCATGTGCCAAATATTTTGAAGTTATGCACAACAAGCCAGCAAGCAAACCACTTTTACATCCAAATGCATACTTTGCTGAAAGTCGTGCAATTTTAACTGAAGACGATAGTAATGGCAAAGGTAAACAAACAAATTGGAAGAAAAAATTGTATGCATAAGAATGATAAAAATGCTTATAACATTTTAGTTGCAGATTTCGACAACAAAGATAAATTCTCTCAAAATACAATTGGAACTCCCGGAGGCGTATCTTCAAGAAAAAGTGATAGACATTCTACGCCTTCTAGAAATTCGGATTTTACTGGCACGCCAAAAACAAACACAATCGACACACCTTTGAGAAAAGTCCAGAAAACAAATTACTATACACCTTCGAAGAAGGCTAAAATGACTCCAGTAAATATTGCAGAAATGCTAAACGATGATGATTTTACAGACTTGATGGATGTAGATCTAATGGATCAAAAAAGTTAACAAACAATTGTTCTGTATTATAAATTTATTTATTCATGTTCTTTGAATCCACTTTGCAAAATTTCTTCAAATATGTATTTTTTATCCTATTTATCAATATTTTTAATAATTGTTCAACTATGTTGATCTTGTAATAAATACTATGCTTATAATTTATGTAATGGAAGTACACATCAAATGTGCGTGTGCGTGTTTTGATTTTTATATAATTAACAACTGACTTCTTTCGATCAGAATTTCAATAGTCGAGTTCGTGATATGAAAGTTTGCAAAACGTGTGCACCAATCGAAAAAAGTCAATAGCTACATATAAGTTCTATGCAATTATACGTAGCTATTGACTTCTTTCAATCGGTGTTTCGGTAAAAAATTCGTGCTAACATCTTGCACCATCGATTTTACCAGCCTCTCTAGATTATACTCGTGCTGCCAACCCCAATCCCGTCGTGCTTCGCTATCGTCGAAAACTTGCGGCCAATTTTCAGCTGAAATCACGCGCGTCAAGTTATAATAAAATTTTTAATATTTAAGTATCTTTACATACACACGTACGCTACATACCGATATATTGCCGTTTATCTGGCTTATAAGTAATCTTTAAATCTGGAATATACTTGAGGAGTTCTTTGAACAATTCCTCAGGCGTGAAGCTCATGGCTGTAACGTTATAAACTCTCCTACGGAGTAACTTGTCGGGTGTGTTTAAAAACTGAAAGAGCGCCGACAGACAATCTTCGATGTATATCATCGGCAGCATAGTGTGAGGCTCCAAGTAACACTCGTACCTCCTGTTTAACAGTCCTTCGTGGAATACCGCTACAGCGTAATCTGTGAAAGATATAAAAGAGAAGGGAAGATTTAAGTATCGTAAGATCGTTGAAATATGCAAAATACGATGTCTGTTGGAAAATGAATAAAACGAGGAACGTAAAATTTTTCAAGAGACAGACGTATACCAAAATTTCAAGTCGCTATTCTTGAAGAAACTTGTAGCCACTCTGATGATTTATTTTGCTCTCTCTGAATGGAATTTACATTTTCATTTTTCTTATTACTGCATCCTACGCAGCTGAAGTTTCTCTAGAAAGATAATTGATGAGAGACGATGGAGATTTATTCTGTCAAATTGCGAAGTGCAGAAAGAAGATGGACGATTGAATAAATAATGTGTGTGTTTTTGTAAAAAAAAACATGTTTATACAACAACTCGCCTCAACGTTAATGTGCGAATGATGATTCTTTATGCATCGGAAATTAAGAAAAACGGAAAAAACGGTTTCACGAACCAGAGATCTTTTGTAAAAAAAAAACATGTTTATACAACAACTCGCCTCAACGTTAATGTGCGAATGATGATTCTTTATGCATCGGAAATTAAGAAAAACGGAAAAAACGGTTTCACGAACCAGAGATCGAGACTCGATGCATTATGCATTGTCCTTGAGAAACGATATACACACATACGTAATTCAATGCATGTTTATATGCAGTTAACTTAATCGCGATTAATGCTCTAGTTCTTCACAAAAAAGGTAAAAACCTGTATCAATTTTCAGTTATCAGCCTGACTTATATGCGATATTAAGCGTTTCCTAAGCATGAACACGATTATCCTGTTACGAATCGAAGAACTTGAACACGCAAGCATCGTGACACGTGTTTTTAGTTGAAAAACATCTCATTTTAATATTTAAAGATGTAAACATGTAATTACGTTATCTGAGGAAAAAAAAACCATATAAGATGTGATATCATTTTTTCCGTTTTCTTTAACTTTTGATGCATGGAAATTATTATTCACACATTAATTAACGTTGAGACAAAAACCGGTATTCATAGTCCGTTCTTATATTTATTAAAATCGTCTTAAGTGTGGTCTTGGGTCGTCTTAACATTCCATTCAATAAAAAGGCCGCATAGCATCTTAAGACCATACTTGAGATGATCTTAAATATAAGAACGGACTATAAATACCGGCTAAAATAATAAAAACATGTTTTTACAAAAACATGTTATTTATTTAATCATCTATCTACACGATTCATGCCACGTGTTTATTAATGTTGCCTTTGGTAATTTTAGATTAGATTATATTTGCTTTGAAAAATTGCTCCAAAATTTTCATGTTTAACTATGTTTTAATTTTATACATGAGAGACAGTCGCGTGAAATGCGCGCTAAGAAAAAGCAGCATCCTCACCGGTGGTACCGCCGCCGGGTGGATCGCAGCTGATTACACCGGGGAATCGAAGGCACCGAAAGTCGAGACCGAACCGATGATGATAATACTCTCCTAGGAGCTCAGCGTGGACCTTGCTAACGCCGTAGATCGTACGTGGTCGTTGCACCGTGACATTCGGAGTCGGATTCCTCGGCGAATCTGGACCGAACGCACCGATTGTCGACGGTATAAAGATCCTCAGTTTGTATTGCTTCGCTAACTCGATGACGTTGTGCATTCCTATCGCGTGCGAGGGAAAATAATAAATCTTTAAGATATCTGATATCGATTCGAAAACAGTCGATTTCTTTTTTGTTCTTCAGGTATATATGTTGCGAATCGCAGAAAAGTGCGCGATACCATCTATCGCGTTTCAACTACTGCCCGTCCGCTTTCTCTCCCGGACACTTTCTTCCCTTCGCGAACGCGTTAGAATTGTTATCGTAATGACAAATTCACTCGTCACAACATTCCATTTCACTTGGACGCAGTGCGCGGAAAGCCGAACATTTCACGCGAAAAATGCGAGTTCCATTAAATAATGAAGCGAAAAAATAGAAATATGTATTTTCCTATTTAAATAATAATAAGATGTCAAAGACACATATTTTTATGCACGCACTGGTATGTCAAAAGTTGTTTTTTTTTTTTTTTAATTTCTTTTATTATTTCTTCAAGTACTGTTAAACTTCAAATGAATTCTGCTCCCCTAGATAGAGACAGATGGATCATTCTAGCTCCTCTCACCTTCGATATTAACTCTCACAGCTAACGGTACGTTTTGTTCACCAACAGCACTAAGCAGAGCGCTGAAGTGAATGAGCCAGTCGATCCTGTAGTCGACGACAATTTTCTGTAAACCCTTGAAGTCGAGGATATCGGCGAAGATGAAGGGCCCGTTCTCCAGGCTCTCCTCCGTTGGCTTGATAATATCCGTCAGTATGACATTCTCGTTACCGTAATTCCGACGAAGCAACTTCGCGCATTCCGTCCCCAATTGTCCGAGGCCCCCTGAACAGAAAATTGCGTTTTCGCTCGACGAATACATGCTTTGCACTTTTATTATAAACGCGAGTGGAGTGTGATGTTACTTTGTCCTTGTATAATACTTTTCGATAAAATCTCAAGAGGGAAGCAAGCATGTAATTAATATATAAAATAAAATATTACTTTTTTTATTTCTCTGATCTTCTTTAGATAAGTTATATTCAATGATGAATTAATGAATTAATGCCATAAACTTCGTTAAATAATATCTGTTAATTTCTTAATGAATTATAAAATAAAAAATGCGAGTATATAATCACGTTTTAGCTTTTAATTATGGCATATATACAGGGTGTCCGGTAAAGATTGTGCCAACGCTCGTGAGCGGGTAGAGCACAGTAAACTGAACAAAAAAGTCCTGTAACATCTTTTTCTATAACGCTTAATAAAGGAGTTATTATTGAGTGAAATCTGGTCAATTAGCGCCGATTTTTAGCCGGACGCACGTCGGTGAGCCGCCCGCTTGATAGTATGCGGCGGCGCACACTTCACAGCGCGGGGCTCACTGACGTGCGCCCGGCTAAAGGTTGGCGCTGATTGGCCAGACTTTACTCAAAAATAATTCCTTTGTTACGCGTTATATAAAAAAATGTTACAGGACTTTTCTGTTCAGATTACTATGCTCTACCCGCTCACGAGCGTTGGCACAATCTTTACCGGACACCCTGTATATCAATTAGATCAATTTGTCGAATTATATAAATTTACTGATAGATTAATTCATCGAAAGCAAGTATATATAATATTATTTAATATCAGTGCTCACCTGTTATCAGTATCCTCGGCGGTTTAACTGTATTATTTGTATTAACGCACTTGGTGCTTTCGTTTTCTTTGTAATTAGAATTGCCCGACATGTGAAAGCTCCTGCAAACATTTCTCGTGAAGCAAAACGAGAATCGAATGATACTTTTACACAACATTATTTTATGAAATAATGTAGCACAATTCGCAAAAGATAACAGATCTTACAATCACAATGCTATTGATCTGATTGTACCTTTTATTTATGATTTTCAACGGTTTTTCACAAATCTTTATTTAAGATATCAGAGAAAAAAATACATAACTCCGTTCATTCTCCGCCAGTCGCGATATCCCGTCTCCTTCAACTGTGCGAGAGAGAAACAAATCCGACCAGTATATGTCCTTCAATGTTAAGATCGCCAAACTGTAAGAGCGCACAGTCTATTTCTATAAATATATGATCTGTACACTACATAAGAAGAATTTTAAACGCAACATTTAATCTTTTTTTCTCAATTCTATGTGGATATATATCGATTCTTTGCCACTCTATATATCTCTTTCATTTGCAATTATAGAGATTCGGGCTCTTTTCATCTGCGGCAAGCTACATCATTATATATTAAAAGACGATATAAATGTATTTCGATTTATCTATCGAGATTTATTTATACGCGACATTGATTTGATTTATTTGTACCTACTATTTACCACATTTTTATATTTTTTATGATACTTCTTATTTCCTTAATTAATTTTTAGCTTTTCTAATATATCCAACGTAAATTTTGTGTAAAAAATAATTTTATCGCTGTCGACTATTTCATCAAAGTCATACGTGAAAAAATGGAATAATGATATCCAGCAATAAAAATGGGTTTCTCTATAAATTTCTCTTAAATACACAGTCTTAAATGTATAATACAATTAATTTCTCTATAAATTTCTCTTAAATGCATAGTTCAATGTGTAATTCAATAAATCGTTCTCATATTATTTTCCACTTGTACTCGATTTTGATCGACAATACAAGAATTTCTATTTTTATATTGATAAATTAACACAAATCTTTATTATTTCTAATAAATATCGTCAAGTACTGTTATTTTTTTATCGGGGAAAAGTGAGTTAAAATTTAAATTCAGAATACTGTTTACACGTCATTCACTTGACGTTTGTCTGCGTTTATGGCAATCAACGGAGGCTTGGCAATACGAACCAATAGCGAGACGATTCTTTTCTTATACGATTCTAAACCGGTTATTACCGTAAGTTCCATATCAAAACTCTAGAATATAAAGTTACGCGTGAATGCTACATGAATATCTCAATAAAAGAACTTGTGCAACAACATATAATATCTCCTATCGATTGCTCTTTCTTCTATAGAATAAGTTCTTGTAAATTTTCACTTACAGGTGAAATAATAACGTGACGATTTAAATAAATGTATTACTTTCAAACAGACAATAGAATTCTAAAGTTTTAGGACCATCATTTTTGGAACTTAAATGGGCGCAGAAATCTTCAAGAATGTGAAGTCACTGTCGTTACTGTGACAAATAGATTATTATAATTTTTTACTAATAAGTTTTATTTAGATATAAACATTATTTGTTTATAATAGTCGCAACATACTACAGGATTAATATAATCGTCAGGCATAAACGCGAAAAGTGCAATTCATTAATTTCCTAATTCAAAACGTATTGACCACAAATTTTTTCTATACTTAACATGCACATAAATAATATTATAATTAATATAAATGTGTATTAATATTATATAATAATTGTTGATAAATTTTATTATTTATCTTGCTTATATATATATATTTTATATCACTTCTCTTTAGCTAGTCCACTTTTACTGATAATAGTATTACATATCTGTCTATATGCATTAAAATCATTAATTTATTGCATTTTTAGAAAGTGTAGGTTGTATGACTAATCAGTATTTGGCTTTATAATTATTAAATATTTCTTACAATTAATTCTTTTTTTTTTCAGATTCCCTCTATTCGATGGGGGTGGTTCGATTCTAGTTGCTTTATCAGGTGTGCAAGAAGGAAAATGAAAGGAAGGAGATTTTTCACCGATGCCGAATTATATTCGGCGATCGGTGAGATTCGTGGGGAAAGGGAAGAATTTCCTGGAAGCGTGTCTTCACGGTGGCTGGACACGCGCTTCGCAATTCTCCTTGCGTCCTACCCGCCACACCACCGTCATCTTCTCCCCTCGAGTTTGTGCAGACCACCACGCTTTTGCGAACAGCCTCTTCGGTGCATTTAGTGTGTGCCCGTAACGAGATCACGAAGAGTCGCGCTCTCCCGACCGAGAGACGGTATCAATAACAAAGTAAAATAAATCGGTTACGCACCCCTCGAAAAAGAAAACATTTTTATGTGCGAAAAGATCGAGTGAAACTACTTTTCTTTTTTTTTTTGTGGAGATTTGATTCTTACTAAAAAAAACGTAGATTTCTTCAGGATTTTACAGAAGAATTAGTTTGGCAAACAGCGCTGATGTAAAAGGTAAAGAGAGAGAAATTTTTATATTAGATTTGACATCTTCTTTAATTAATTTTGAAAACATGGTGATAGATTTTTTGTGGAGATTTGATTCTTATTAAAAAAAACGTAGATTTCTTTAGGATTTTACAGAAGAATTAGTTTGGCAAACAGCGCTGATGTAAAAGGTAAAGAGAGAGAAATTTTTATATTAGATTTGACATCTTCTTTAATTAATTTTGAAAACATGGTGATAGATTTGCTTGGAGAATGAGTCCTATATAAATAAAGGTTTTAATAGAAGTAATTAAATGTGTGAAGACATTTTTTATAAAACATAATTAAAGATCCATTATTTGATTAAAATTCTCGTACTGTCAACGACCCGCACATTGCATTCAATGATCGCTTGAGGTACATCCTCATAAAGGTGCACAACCTTCATGCAATTACATAATGACACGAAATTATCATTCACGGCAGAAAATGAAATGTACGTACGCTTGAGGATCAGTGACGGCAAAATATCAAGGAAGTAGGGATCACTTTCACTAAAATTACGTCTTATTGTGCCTTATTGTTTGATCATAATTCAGGATTATGACGATAACGATGGAACTGGAGGACAATTAATTGCCCTTGTTATTAATTCTTAGTGTATTTTTCCAAAGTAGTAAAATACAATGCTTTTTTAAGTAAACACCGTATACATAAATCTGCTAAATGTAACTTTATCGCTACCAACACAAAAAATACTTTTTATATCATGCATTAAAAAAATTTTATATAAATATCAATTGGAGCGATTAAAAGCGATTTTCAATACTCAACTTTCTAGAATTTTACTTAGATTTTCTATTCCACGGTCAGATACTCATAATGCCAAATACTTGCTTGTCTCGACGAAAACGGAATCTTTGGAACTACAGATAATTAATTTTTATCATCTAAGCTTGAAAAAGAAATGATGATACCAATATACTCGCGGAGGCTCTCGAAATGCGGAAACAGATGCATCAGATAGAGACGGCTCTTTTCATTGATGCAACAAGGCACAATCTCGAATCGTTTATCGCATATATCGACGTTTTTCACGTACGAATGGCTTTTCAGGCCGTCCGATTGTTTTATTTCTTCTTAAAGACCGGCGTATTATGAAATCCTTGCGTTTCCGCGTGACAAGATCTTCGTGGTGAACGTCTTCCTTATCTTTCTACACACACGCCAAATTGCAATCTCTTTTTACATTAATTACGATTTGTTCTTCTCACGTGGCGATTATGCAAAATATTATATCCTAAAGTATTATTCGCTAATAAGCAAAGTAGAGGAAGCAGAATAAAATATTATCTGATTCTTCTTCTTCAACTTTTTTCAACTTTTTATACAATTGTATAATTTTATAATATTTTATATTTGACATTATACTTCGTCGATAACTCATTAAGCGAACGAGCGCTGCGTGCTTGTAAAATATGTAACAATCTCTCCGACTTTCTTTTTCTTCAAGGTGCAAATTTTTTAATTTTTGAGTCGTTCTCCGGTTCTCTATTCGTCGTTACTATATAGACACATCAAGAGAGCACTCGCGCGACGGCAATTATTACGGACAACGATTGTCCTAGCGGTCTTTAACTTTGCTTACGGTACGGGGCATCAATTTTATCGTCTACGACCGTGACTTGTGTACACGCGTATAAAGATGCTTAGGACGTCGCGCCCAGGATACAGAGGCATACCGTGACGTCCGTGAAGGGCTCTTAACGCCTAAAAATCTGACAATTATCGGTCGTTGTTTCGTCTCGCCGTAGACGAGGAAACGACGTAATTATTTTTATCGCGTGTCTCGTCACATGTGTCGAAACTGTTATTTTTTTAATAGCCTTTTGACAATAAATTACATTTAATGCGTAAAATGCGCGTATAAGAGCGATCTTATAACGCTTCTGAGGTTGAAGGAAATTGGGAAAAAATTCGAATGTGTCTTTTCATGTTACTTAATTTAAAAAATAATTATTTAAAAGAGTTTTGAATGTGTAAGATTTAGTTATCAATCTTTAAAACGTATAATCAATGTACGATCCATAATTGACACATCGAGAGTTTCATAGATTCATTTACTCAGCGTCCGATTTCTTTAATTTTCCTCCAAATTCGTATTCGTTCGTTTGCGTGCAAACGTATGTTCCAGAAAATGCGGAACTGCTGCTCGTAGACTACGGTCCAAATGCGCGATGGTGAGGCCGTCGGAAGGCGGTGGACTTCTGATAGTCGGCTGGCTTCTGGTACTCCGTTCCATCGGTGCCGGTGCCCAGTTAGATTCCGACTACGGATGTCCGCCTCAGGAAAGGATACTGCCCTGCAGATGCTCGACGCGCGATATGGAGATTCAAATATGGCAAGTTGATGAGAGGATATTAATCCCGTGTGCTGAACAAAATGCCATAATAAATTTGCGCGCAGGTGCAGCCACAGCGAATTACCGAAGGTGCTGGAAGGCTTGAAGGCGGTCAGTCACTACATGAACCAACCGGTGGACGAACTGATCTTGGAGAACAACAACTTACCTAGTTTGCCCGGCAAGGTATTCGCGACCTTGCGAGTCTTGCGCCTGATGCTGCGAAACAATCGGCTAGAGAGGGTGTCGTCCGGCTGGCTGGAGGGTTTGCACGATTCTCTGCTGGAGCTATTTATCGTCGAGCCCGATTTGCGGTCTTTACCTGTGGACAGTTTGGAGAATCTGCAGGGTCTCGAGGCAGTGACGCTGCAGAGTCGCGTGATGAAGCGACTGCCCAAGTTCACTGGTTTGCCGAAACTGAGGTACCTGCAGATCAACTCCCCGGCCTTATTAGAACTCGCCCCGAGAAACTTTCGCGATATTCCCAATCTGGAGCAGCTGCACGTATTCGGTAGTCCGAGGCTGACGAGACTGGAGGCCGGCCTCCTTCGTGGTCTTCCCCGACTGGAACTGATCAACGTCACCGATTCCGGAATCCACTGGATTCATCCGCGGGCCGTGATCGATTTGCCGGAACTCAGGGAGATATCGCTGGTCGGAAACGCGATAGTCGATGCCGGTATGGTCGGTCGGGCGTGCATGGATCTCCCGTCGTTGTCGGTGTTACATCTGGATCGGAATCGCATCAATCGCCTCGGCGAGGGCTCCTTCGTCGATCTCCCTATCTTATCGCGTATTTATTTATCGCGCAATCATATTACGGAGATATTCGCCGGGGCTTTTCAACGGGTGCCGGCTCTCAAGTCCGTGGATCTGAATCACAATCTGATCCATCGCATCCACCCGGAATTCTTTCCGCATCGAACGGGAAATGCGTTGGAAGAAATATGGCTGATTAATAATGATCTTAGTCATGTGGCCGAGATACGATCAGTGCTCGAAGCTCTGCCAAGATTAAAATTTTTAGACGCCAGTCACAATCAATTAGAGGAAATACCCTTCGGTGCTCTAAGAGGCCATCCCACTTTGGAGAGGCTTCATCTGAACCACAACAGGCTGGCATTTTTGCAGAGAGAAACGTTCACGGCAATGCCGGCGCTCAGAGAGCTTAGACTGAAGAATAATTCTTTGTCGAATCTCCTGGAAGCTCCTTTCTGGAATCTGCCAGCGTTAAAAGTAAAAATTTTGTTGCATTCTCTAAACATTAGTAATGGAAGCAAAAGTTAAACACATATTTTTTGGATTTTTTATAAATAATTTTAAATAAAATTTTAATTCTTGGAAATCACGCATTCTTTTGATTGAAGTATCAATGATATTTCATCATTTTCAATCAATTACCTGTCTGATTTCAGGGTCTGGATCTTTCGGAGAACTATTTCCGTCATATAGAGCCGCGTTTATTCGATAATCTACCGAATCTCAGACGACTGGATCTTAGCGGTAACGCTATTGGACTCATCGAACCCGAGTCCTTTCTCAACACTCCGACGATGGAGCACATCAACGTCTCCAGAAACGCCTTATCCGTTCTTCATCCCTTGACTTTCCGACATCTGACAAATCTATACGAGTTAGACGTCGGCTGGAATCGTATGCTGGAATTGGTCCCTGGTCTACCGAAAGACATCGAGCACCTTCACATGCCCATGAACCGTATCGTCGCTCTGCCGGTCGTGTCCTCTCAGGATCTAGTCCTACCCGCCCTACGATCGCTGGATCTAAGCGCGAATGGAATCGAAAGAATTCTGCCCGGCACGCTGGCCGATCTGTCAAACTTGAGAAAATTGAGTCTAGGCTATAATACTTTGAGAGTTGTAGACGACGGCGTTTTCGATGGACTCTCGAGATTGGAACAATTGGACTTGAAATACAATCGATTGGTCACGTTGCACGGACGAAGCTTTCGCCCTTTGAAATCGCTAATGGACGTGAATCTTAGAGGCAATCGAATGGAAGTTCTACGACCAGATATATTTCAGGAGAATACACGATTACAGAGGATTGATCTGAGCAGAAATAATCTCGCCCAAATTCCTCACGCTACCTTCGCCAACACCAGGTAAGAGTTTTAATAGTTTTCATATAGAGAATTTACAGTAAAATATATATTTGCAATTTATTTTTAAATGCCTTAACAGTTTATTATTTATGACATCTTATATATTTGTTTTTCTCCAATATACATACACATATATATACATATATATATAAATATAATTGTATATATGTATATTGTATATTATCATGTAAAAAAATATCAATTTGTATTTCAATTTTAATTCTTAAAATTTAGTATATAATGATAGCAATTGTGTATTAACAATGAAGGTAATTTTCCCCTCCTTTGTTACCTCGTGTTCTAGTGAAAAAGCAGTTTCACTCGTGGTTACTTGATTGCATCACTCTTAAATTGGTACCTAGAAAGTTCTTCGTGCACACGCTAATATCTCTTTCTTGTCGTTGTGTAGCATCGGCCTGGCGTGTCGACTAATTTCGGAGTAACTTGGTTCACTTTTATACGTAATTTTATTTAAACTCGTCCATTAAGTTTAATTTTATTGCATCGAAATTTAATCGCATGCTCTTTCACAAAAGCGTACTCTAGTATAATATACTTTAATCGAATTTAAATGTAGGTATAAAACATGGATAAGACAGAGATAGCTCTTTAATAACAATCTATTTATACTAAATTTTATTTACGATAAATTTACAATAAACTTTCTTTCGTCAAAGTTGGTTCAAATAACACTGTAAAGAAAAATTAAAAAAACATCCTAATCTCTTACACATTTTTAAATGTCTTTTTGGAAAAGAGAATAGATCGTTTAATTTCCATTCCGTGCCCACAAAATGACAACGGCAATGTCAATTACAGAGACCTTCGTGAACTATACGCCTCGCACAACACTTTGACCGAGTTACCCGGATCGTTGCACGGTTTAAAGGTTCTTCGAGTTCTCGACTTGAGCTTCAACAAGCTGAACATTCTATCGCCGGAAACGTTAAGCAGCCTTTCGTCCTTGCTCGAGCTAAAACTCGTTAGAAATCGCATACGAGAATTGCGGGAAGGTGCGTTCGACGGGTTGCCGCGGCTGTCCCTGATCGATCTCGAGGATAACGATCTTAGAGTGATCGAGAGGAACGCGATCAGAGCTTTACCGGAACTACAGGCCGTCAGACTCGGCAGGAATCGATTGCAGGTAATAAATTGTACTTAATTTTTTTTAGATTCTTATTCAATAAAACTGAAATAATTTTTGTTTGATGAAAATAAACAAAACTTTGCCCCTTGAATAATTTACTTCTTTAGATGCAATTGAAAAGTTTAAAAAGCTTCATATGTGTGAGCCGTATTGTATGTAAATACAATATATAATATTGTTATCTGATTTTTATATAAACAATATTTTATATATAAATATTGAGTTAAACAAGCGGGGGTCTAATTTTCTAGTCTATCCCAAGTGGCGCTTTCACCGAGCTACCACTGCTGCAGAGTGCGGAATTACAGGAAAATCGAATCCAGGAAGTCGCTAATAATGCCTTCATTAACGTGCCACACTTGCTATTCCTTAATCTAAGTCATAATAATCTGCCGGGATTGGAGTACGTAGGCTTGGAGAGTCTACACTCGCTGGAGGTTCTCGATCTCAGCTACAATCGTTTATCGAGAGTCTCAAGCGACAGTCTGGCAGCTATGGAGTGGCTAGTGGAATTAAAGGTATAGTAAAAAAATTTCACAATATAAATTTTAAGACATATAAAATATATCACGTATCTCTCTCGCTCCGATATATAAAATTCGTACTTTCAAAATATTTATGGGTGTGTAAAGCGACTGCGCAATTTGTGAAACATTTATTTTGTGCGAGAGGTAATCTGTAAAGAATTACAAATGAAATGGCTAGAGCGCGAAAAGCGCTTCGCTAATAAAGGAGAATACTTTCTCGTCGAGAGTGAAACTCCTGCGTGAACCATAGTGCGAGACGAGCCGTTCTGCTGGCGGAGCAATTATTCGTATACTTGCATCGTTAATTAGGGGAGATAGCCGAGGCCGCGTTTTACATAGGCCGTTTTCCTTTCTGCATGCAGATGGACAACAATCGGATTTGCGCCGTGCACGGTTCGCCTTTTGATGACATGCCGAGATTACGGGTATTGAGTCTGCGAAGCAATCGAATGACCGCAGTTTCCGAAAATGCTTTCAAAAGACTCAGATCGAACATTGCTGTTCTGGATATCGACGGTAATTTAATATTAATTGAATCGATAAAAATAAAAAAAATTTAATCAAATTAATTATATTTAAGATGAAATATATCGATTTCTCTCGACGGTTTGTCTCAATAAAAGCATCGCTCAATATTTGCATATTTTGCCATACGTCTTTATATTTACATCTTTTTCTTATTTCCGAGAAAGGAAATCCATTATCCTGTTCTTGCGGCATGCTTTGGCTACGAGGATGGCTGCAGCAGGCTTCCTCGGAAGGTCCTAGATGCGCTGACGGTTCTCTTTTTAGAGAACTTAGATTATCGCGTCAAGATTGCCAGCGCGAGAGATATGTCGAACCGGTCCATCCAGGATGCGAATCTGAAATGATTAACGTTGCAACGCCTTCGGTTTCTTCATCTGGTAAGCCACTAATAGCCGAAATAAAAGAAATTAATCACAAAGTAAATTCAGAAAAATTAAATCTCATATTTATCTATTATTTAAAAATTATGTTATATTTTTTACACAATGGTATGTTTTGTAATTACACTTTAACTATTTTAAATATAATTAATTGATTAATTCTGATGTCATTGCATTTATAAATTTATAGCAAATAATTGCCATATCTTATTGCGGTTTATTAAATTATATTGAAACTTGTTAGCGTTCGGAGTTACAGAGACGGTACCGTTCTGGATGAACCTAAAAGACTCGTCAACCCAGAAGCCTTCCATTTCCCAGGATTCCGATTATCTATACGAATATGTGGACTATCAGGACAACGGAAGCGACACGAGCACATCCGCGTCGCCGTCCAGCGTGTCTACCATCAGTGTGCCCACTCAAACCGTAAACATCATCCCTCCGCCACCGCAAACGCAGAAGCATCAGACTCAGAGGAACGAAACGTCACCGGTGAAAAAGAACCCTATGATGCCACCGTCACCCAGCAGCTCCGGCTTCACCTTCTTCGGTCTACCTCTGCCGAGCATGAGTTTCGATTTGTGGGGAAATTCGAAGAGGAAAGCCGAGAGGAAGGAGTCCTCGTTAAAGCTGGATAGGCCCAGCCGAGGACGTTACAGATCCTTTCCTCCCACGGAACCGGAAATTCACAGGGGTGGCTTCGTGCCGCTGCCGCGTGCCCAGAGCGGATTCGTGCCGATCGCCGATCCTAGATTGATGTACGAGAAACAGGAGGCGAAGCGCGAGAACATTTCAAAGTCATTGAGTGCGAGCAATAGTACGCAGATGCCGGAGGAACGTCCACGAAAAAGCGGAAACAGCACCATCACCAGAGTGGAAAAGATCGTCTCCAGAGTCGGAAAACCTCGGACGAGTTTCCGGGAACGAGAGGAGTTAACCACTGCACCGACATTCGACCGATCGACCGATTCGAATAATTTCAATTCTCGTAAGATTTTGCCCGACGTCAATAAAATCAAGTAAGTAAAAATTGTTCAAATTACTTTTTCTTACAATATTCTAAGTCTAACATATAATACGGTAAAAAGGGATATTTTTCAGACTCTTTGCCACGATTCTTTTAATTAATTTTTATTAATGGTTTACAATTTTAAAAAAATACGCATGTATGTATATCTTGACATTTAAAATTTTTTTTTAAATTGCTGTTAAAATTAAACTTGCTGTTGTTACCGATATTCGTTCCTGGTTAATTCCTTCGGACGTTATTTTTTTTTTTTTTTTTCATTTAGCTCTGACGCGTTCAACGCAACGAAAAGTAGTGTACCGATAATTGTGGAGGAGTCATCACAGGAAGCTCACGAAACGTCGGTGTCCACCGAGATTTACGAGGACGAGAGTCTAGAAGTAGATTCGAAAGAAGTTAAATTCATCGAAAAACCACAGATGGAAATCGCCAGTAGAATAATTTGGACCACACCTAAAACGATAATGACGGAAACGGGAAAAGTTCTAATTACCAAGGACATTGTGACGGCAGCGATGGAAGTGGTACCGTCACAAGAAAGCAACAATAAAGATTGGGACATTGAAATATCCGAATATGAAAGGAATTCAACTCAATTGAGCACTACGACTGACTCTTACCATGAATCTGGTATGCTAATTGATTTTAATAAATATTTTGAAATGTTTGATACATTTATATATCAGATACACTTCATTATTAGATCGCTTGGCTGATAAATCTGTAATCGTCTGCTAAAAAATAAAATCTGTTAAATTAGCAGACAAAAAAGACAATTTTGCTATTGATTTGTGAACCTTTGATTCTAATTAACAAAAAATCTAATGCCAAGAATCCATAGAATTTTATTTCAATAAAAAATCGGCTCTATATTCTTATAAAACTTCGTGACTGATAGACACATTACATCGCGCAAATGCAACAAAGAAAAGAAAGAATTGTAATAAATAAAAATTTGTTACATTATAGACAATCCGCAAGTGGCAAAAACAGATGTGCCGCACTTCTTTGTAACCACGACATCCTCCACATCGAATCCGCGCCCGAGAGAAACCACGACTACGACTTCTCGAGGAACGGAGGCGTCCGCTTTGTCCGCGCTTCTGATCCCGGGAGGACAATTACCGTCTTCGGGGCCCTTGGGAAATTTACGTCCGCTCGGTAGATCCACGATAACCAAAGTCCCATCGCCGTACCTTAGTCAGAATGCCGAACAATTGCGGGAGAGACAGAAATCGGTCGCTGCTCAGAGAAGCGCCGAGATCGTCGATCACACGACGACTGAGATCCAGAACGAGGCGTTCGTCATCGACGAAGAAGCCAGAGTGCTAGACGACAGTCCTTTCAACTGGTATTTTCAACATTATAATGATACGAATTTGGAACCTTATGTAGGTATAGCTTATAGCGGTGCCGCGAAAATCGATGCGTATCGATGGTTACTTTTACTTGCTTTTAGAATCTTAATATAGAAAGAGATTTGGAATTCTCTCGTAGAGAGAAATCTATAAATGGTTTTTATAAATAGACAAATTTATATATCGCTAAAGAGATAAAGACGAAAGAGAATTCATAAAAGATAACATACATTGTAATATCTCTTAATGAATACCGCTATATGTCTCTCGAATCACAAATCATACATGTGTAGGCATGCTGTAAGGATAATCCCGTGCGATGTACACAGTTGAATTATATATGTGTATCTATATATATATATTTTGTCCGAGAACTATTATATGTACAAAGATCATGCTCGTAAGTGTATTTGTGTTTTTATATATATATTTTTGGTAAGATATATATAAAGCATTTTTATGATAAATTAATAAAGCAAACTAAGAAAATAATCATTTATTAAAAACGTAATACTTTCTCTTTTTTAACGACTTGTGCATTTCCTAAGAAATATGTTATCTATGATATCTATCATAAATGCTGTTAAAACTTTAAATTGTTTCAAACATATCTGTGACAATCTAAAAAGATACTTCTTTAACATCAATTAATCTAATGATTAGGAGAATTAATGAATGGATGAGATTGAAAACAGATATGGAAAATAGCCTCGTTTTTTATACAGTACTATTGTTTATATATATCAATGGATTGTTAATTAAAACATTGAAAATATAATGGTTAGAATGATATTCTGTAAAAATGTCTTAATCCTAAATTCTTCGGTATATTTACTACACCATTCATTACATTCAAAATATGGAAGTGTTAAGTTTTCTATTCTTCTTTGTGCCTAATATTTTAAAAATTCACAGAATTATGCCGGAATAGTTCAAAAATCACAATATGCCGTTGTAATACATATTTAAACTGTCATCATTATTTATAAATGGGATGTAATTCTGTACAAATTGCGAACAGACTTGCTTATTACACACAGAATCGATAATCGTCCTCAACTTTAACAGTTCCAATCTTGCAACTGAGCAATGCTCCAATCACTGACTTTTAGCTTTCGCCTTTTCCTCTCCTTTTTTCTCTTCTTCTTTTTTCTCTTCCTTCTTTGTATCTTTCTTTCCGTCCGTTTCTTTTTTCTCAGCATCACGATTAGTCAGCTTGTTGTTGATCAAATTGTGTAATGCCACTATGGACCTAACCAGAGCTGCTAGATATACAACTAGCATTTGATCATTTGTCTTTACATATAACGAATCAACGAAACTACTTTGAGTCATATCTGGTAATAAATTGAATATGTCCTGAAGCTGGTAAACAATTTGATGATTTATAGGTAATTTTCCACTGCCAACCTACAAAAATAATTTATTTTCGGATATAATCAGACAGTAATTAATAACTGACTGAATTATTTTCTTCCACAAATCAATATATACCTGAAGCAAATAATCTCTAATTTCCCGGATTTGTTCGTGAAGACCTTTCAAGCCAAGTAATTGATTTGTGATTCTTTGGCTGAGTGTACCAACTGTGGTATCTTTGATATCTCGCAATAAATGCTCCACTCCTACCTCTTCTGCTTCTTCGGCTCCAATTTCACTTGGGATGTGTTCAAAAGTTTTGGAGGTAGGGGAACCATCCTGTGGACAAATATTTTATTATATATTTTTTTTTAACAGATAACTAAATAATGTATACATAAACATACATCGTGTACTTCTTCAACTGCTTGATATGCCTCCGTAGGAAGTCCGAGATCCTTTGGTTTGGCATCAATAATCACCAAGACTGAATTGGCGCAATATCTTCTTATTAATTCGTTAATAGCGACATCATTTTGATGTAGCTTGGGTCCGGTATGGTACCAGCCTACCACCTTCTCACGAGCTAAAAATCAACAAATATGGAATTGTAATAAAAAATTCTTCCATATAAATTTTATAGAACTTGCACACATTATTCACAAGTCTTTACCGTTGACTTTCTTGAACATTCCGTACATATTTTCCAGATAATCGTGATCAAGGAACCATACACTTTTATCTTTGTCATCCTCATCAAAGGGTACTGAAACGCAAATTTATTTTTTAATACTTTACTAAGCTTTAAAAACATTTACGATTCAATTTTTAATACATTTTTATACCAAAAAGAAATAGAAGAATTATCTTATTGTACATACAAAACATTTTAAATAATATTGTAGATTATTTGTGAAAGTCCTAACCTGCAAAACTGTTTGATACGTCCAAGATTCCCTTGGCCCTCCAGCAGCCTAAAAGTACACCGACCACTCTCTTTTGGTTTCCGATTTTTCCCATACGATTAAAATGATCCACCACGCTTAATAGTACCAGCGGGTGAACCACAACTTTCGTTGTCACAACGTCTTGACTCGGCATTTTTAGGAGCAACTTTGAAAACGATACACAGAACACAGACAGTGAAATCACCAACCGCCACTAAACACGGTCATTTGAAGATGACAAGAGTGGCATGTGGCATGTTGTACCAGAGAAAAGCCTGAGAGAGGCCACGCCGCTGTTTTTCGAAAGATGCTTTTTCTAGCTCGTACAGTAGCGTCATCTAGATTCATTTCAAAGCCGCGGAACTACATGGCCAGATTCACTTTTCGGTGCATGTCCGTACTAAATACATAATTGTGGATTAAAAATGCAGAGAAATATTATGGATTTATTAATGTTTTATTAGTTGCACGTCATATTTTGTCATTCTAGTATATATTACAACGATAATAAGTTATAATTGAAATAATTTTATGTATATGCGCATGTAAAATGAAATATAAATTTTCTTAAATTAATTTTCTTAATAATTTTTTTCCTAATTTTTAAATATAATGTGTAGAAGATATTTACAATAAATTGCATTGATTTTTTTTTATTCTTGAAACGAAAGTATTAAACATTTTGAGCATTATTAAATCATATTTTTAATTTATATAGCTTTTCATTATTAATTTTTTTTTATAATTATATTATTTAATTAATTTTTTAATTTATGAATTCAGTTGGATGCACTTCTGCGCATCAATGCACGTTAAAAGCTATTATATAGACAAATTTATGTAAGCATAATTAATTTATATCTATATTTTCCTATAGTTTTAACCGTGTTTTTTTAAAGAGTTTTAATTGTTGATAGCGTTAATTAATTTTTTCACGATTGTATGATCGTCGGTGATACTATCAGCTGTCAGATCTTCGCAAAATATTATAAAATGTCAAAAATTGCGATATCTTGAGCAATATTGTTTTTTTTAGCATATAAAATGTTAAGTGTTTTTTCTATCTTGTGGAATTCCACTTAGAATTTTAATTAAAAAGTTGGAAATGCGAAAATAATACTTTTCTCGGGAGATTTAGATATGTATTTATACGATATATTATCAAAAAAAAATTAAAATAAATTGCATTAATTTTTTTTTATTCTTGAAACGAAAGTATTAAACATTTTGAGCATTATTAAATCATATTTTTAATTTATATAGCTTTTCATTATTAATTTTTTTTTATAATTATATTTTGAGTGAAGTCAGTTTGATCACTTTGAGAGCTATTAAACCAGATTTGTCATGAACATATGTTCGATCGAAAATGGGTTTTGTGTGAATTTTATTAATATAGATATAAAATACATCAATAATATTAATAATGTAAAATACATTCCATTATTTTGGATTCAAAACACAAGATTTTTTGCTCTCATTAATCAATCAAAGGCTTACTCGAAATATTTCGCATTGTTTAATCTAATAACCCAAGTACCCCTAGAATCCAAGACAGAGTTTATTAACTTTATTCATTAATTGGTCTCAGAGCGATCAAACTTGCTTCATTCGAAAACGCTATATGTTACCGCCGGCATAGCTCTCAGGTTCATTAGAGTACGCAAACCTCCTCACCCGGCAAATGCCTTCATTAAGGTAGAGATACCATCGAGAAGGTAACATTTTTATTATAATTATTTAATTGAAATACAAATTATTTTGTTTCATAAAATAAATATACACTATATAATATATATAATATACAATATATTATGTGTAATGTAAAATTTAGAATAACAATATACAGAATTATAGGATATATAACATAGAATTTGTAAAATACGATAAATTTTACATATAATAACAAATAAATACAATATAATTTTAGATACAACAATTATAAATTATTATAATATAATTTTATATATA